TTTCAAAAGAAAATAAATACAAGATTTCCAAGCAAAATTACGACAAGAGAAGAAGAGAAGAAAAAGAAATGGTTGACAATAACAATTATTATTATTTTTTGAAAAAAGAATGGTGGTTGTCGCCACTTGTCGTCATAATTAGGTTGGGACTTGGTATTTATTTATTTCTTGAGACACCATTTTTCACCATCATCATCGACCCAACACGTAAATATCATTAAATGGTCGTCAGGATTGGTTATTTTCTTTTAATAAACTCGAATTTTTTAAGATACAAATAAAGTTAACATTAGTCCAATTTCATAATGACAAAGTTGAAAATATAATAAACGATATAAAAACTTCTATTAATTGAGAATATGGATATAACATTGGTAATATCGAAACCAAATTAAACAACGAAAAGGGTAATATATTGAAACAATTATTATAGAACTTGTAAATGAATTAGAATTATGAAGAAGTAAGTGAATTAGTAATTTATTAATTTAATATTTAATTTTACATCACATTGACAGACATTACAAGCTATATGGCAATGAAGATTATAACGAAAATTATGGCTATGGTGATGAGAATTACAGTTATGATAATGAAGGTAAATTATTATTTTATTTCCAGTTTGCCAATTATAAATTATATCATTATAAAGCACACGTATATAAATTTGATATAATTTGGATCTTATAGAACCAATTGAGGTTGCCAATACCACTGAAACTGCCAATACCACTGAAACTGTTAATACCAATACAACAACTACTAAGAGGATTGTCCAAAGTGACATCATTTCGCTCTGATATAAGCTCATACCCTTAGTAGAATCTCACAAACTCATAGAGCAGGTGTATATTATCATTATACATTTATCATAAATATATAAATTAAACATATACTAATCAAATCAAATTAATATTCCCGATCGACGTGTAAAGAATAATCTTAAAAAAGATACTGTGTGAAATGTAATGATATGAAAGTACCAATTATACGACTGCGGAATTGCTTGAATTAGCAGGTCATGCAGCCCATCATAACGAGAAAAAAATGCATTAATTCACAATATTTAGTATCAATTTGACAAACTTGTGAAAACAGTAGCCTGTATTTTATGGTACAAAAGATTCGTTGATATTAGGAGAACTTGACCAAGGAAATAAGAATATAATCAATTATATACTTCTAAATCTGATCATTAGCTTTGTTAATTTAAACATATCATTTTAAAAAAGGATCTAGCATTCTAACATATTATTTATTTCATTTTTTAAGAAACAAAGTGCTCATAAAAACAGCATGGGTCAATATAGATGGTAATAAATGAGTATATGGCTTTATTAAAAAATTTACTATCAAAGATAAAAAAAAGTATTATAATGTTTTGCGAATTAAGTTTTTGATTATTTGCATCACAATAATTATTAAAATAATTTGTTGTATCTTGTTACAGAAGAATCAACATCTGAAGATAGTTTTGATAATACTCCCGATGATGATGATAATAACAATGATAAGGAATATGAAGATATCAATGCAGTTGACGAAGAATTCGACATAGATCGTTTTCATGAAAAGATTTCATATGTAAGATTATTTATTAAGCTACAATTTCTGTTCAAATTTTCTATTTTTAAATTTTTTATACACCAAAAAGTATCCTGAAACAGAAAGCATTAGATATTTCGCTTGAAGTATTAAATCGACGAGATTGATGAAGGAAACCTCTTAACAGAAGGGATCGTATTTGGAAACTGAACAACC